GTTCTGCAGTCATTTGGTTCTAATATGACGACCGGGTTGACACAATCCATAAAGAATTCTCCTTAATTTCTGAAGATACCGGGCCACTTATATATTTTCGTTTTTAATTGAGTATATATAATATCAAAGGGTAACTTGAGACGTTTGCAAGAGTGAGTTTCAGCTCTAATGATATTCGTCAAGTGGCATAACGAATAGAAGTTCGGCCCTTTTTCACCCGAAACGAGGAAGGATGTCTCGTGTGCTGCGTCAATATGAACTTAGTATTAAAGCAAAGCATCTGCAGAACGACGGGAATCGACCGTCGTCTTTCGGTGGGATCAAGCAACGAATCTCTTTATCATGCACGTTGTTCTGCAGCCGTTTGACGCTCAGATGGACACAGTCCACGAGACATCCGGCATCGTTTCGAGTAAAACCGGGCTAAGCTGAAGTCCGTCTGTAGGCAACCCTTTATCAAACAGTGTTGCATGAAAAAAAATTCTCCAACAATGGCGTCCCGAGAAATGCATCAAAACCCATCTGGACTGGGCATTAGAAAAACGGCTCTTCTCCGCCTCCGAGGAGGACGGAAGGGCAAGGGTCGCGTGGCCGGTTTTACCGGGAAGCCAGCAGCCGCGGCGCTGAGGAGGAGGCGCTGGCCGGTCGCCAGGCCGACGGAGCCGGTAGCTGGTCGTCCGGGCCCCGCGGCCTCTGCAAGCACCGACGCTCCGGCCGGGCCGGGGCAGTGGTAATAGGGCGCCAGAAGGGCGCCGGTGCTGTAGCGCTGGGCGGCGGAGACCGACGCGACAGCGGCGCAGCCGCCCTGCGCCGATTGGCCGGCCGGGACGAGGGTGAGTCCGGCCGGGAGGAGTAGGCCGTGCTGGTCGGGGCGCGGCTGCAGCTGAATCAGCTGCGCGCCGGGGCCCGCAAAGGGGGCCGGCGCGGGCGCTGCCGCCTGCGAGTGGTGCCCGAGTGGGCCGGCGTGGAGCGGCGTCTGCGGCCGGCTGAACTGGACGAGGCTGACGGGCGTGCCGGCCGGCGCCGGGACCGAGGCCGAGCCGACGGCGGCGGGTTGCAGGAGCAGGCCGCTCGGGTGGACGTGGACCAGATGGACGGGAGTGGAGCAGGCGGAGGAGCGGTTGGTGCCGACGACGCCGGTCAGGGGTGTGGTGGGGGAGTCGGAGCGCTGACGAGCGGGAGGAAAGAGGGCAAGAAAAACGGTAACGGGAGTAACGGGAAGTCGCTTCGTCTACAACTGTCGACCTCTTTACTTGGAGTTTAAGCGAAAGCGTGTGCTGAAAAGATGCCACGGCCGAATCCACCGGTAGACGACACCGGATTCTCTTCTCATTACTAGAGCATTGAAGATATGAAGAAAAAGAGGACTCCGAAGAAGTCCTTAGTCGTAAATTGAGACATAAATTCCCATTTAGAGGCAAAAGCTGGTCGTAAGGAATTCGTGATGTGGTCTCATTGGAAATCAAAGAAGGATTGCCGTGTAGGGAAGCCTGGTCTTAGCTAATAACTGCACAGCCCAATTAGACGTTCGTGTATTTCAAGCGGCAATCCTAATTCCCAAGTTATGAGTTCGGTATATGGGCGATCCCTTTGCTGTATGGCAACACGGCAAGAACCTAGTTTTTGGAACTTGGTCATATTGGCAGGAAGGCCTAGAGAAGCGCACATTGTCCGGAGTCCATAGTATGCATGATAATCTCCAATCGGACCGTGGACCTGATATAATAGAAGACGTTTCGCCGAAATCGAACTCGATATCGTCAATGAGTCTTGCCATTCTCAGCATCGTCTCTTTGATGGTGCCGACTACGATTCTGGGGAAATGCCTGATAATGTACCAAGAATACAGTCCGACTCTGGAGATTTTATGCATACTATGGAGTACGGAGAAAGTGTGTTTTTCTAGATCTTCCTGCCAATATGAACAAGTTATGAAAACAAGGAGAAATTACTACCATAGATCGAAAGGAAGTTGCGCCCAAAATAGAGGTCACACCACCTTAGTCTTCGTATCTACGTTGAAACCACGGCAAGGAGTTTGAGTAAATTCATTGAGCTAATAAATACAGTAGATGTCAATAGTAAGTTATCTACCAAGTTAGAAGAGAAAAATAATTTGCTTTTTTGGATCTATTAGTGAGCAAAGAGGATAATAAGTCGTGCTGAAACGTGTATAGAAAACCCACGCACGCGGGTTTCCTTATTACTTTCTTCTCCACATAGAGTCTAAGAGAAGTTATGAAATCAATGAAAATAAGGATGTTGCGTCTAGCAGACGTAAAACACAGGGACAAGGTCGGTAGCTTGATGCATATATTGTGTAGGTTCGACCTTACTTTCGCAACTTGGTCGGATTGTCTTGGTTGCATATATTGTTTCAAAACCCATTAGGATTAGTGGATAATTAAATTTCAATTTTCAGTAACAAGTGAAGTTTGCTAAATGGGGTGGGATAGACAATTGATCATTCTATTCGGTTTCTGATTTTGCCTTCCTGTCAGCTTGCGAAAAAGTTGGTTGATCTACTGAGGAAGTGGAACATAAAAATAATGTATAGAGAGAAATTAACACCTTCTTTAGTAGTTCCTTCGTCTAGATAATTTTCAGACCCTTCTTCTGGTTCAGGCTGCCATAAGGTTATGTGCTCAAGCGTTTATGTCCAAGCAAGGGAGGCCTGAGGACCAATTTAGAAGAGACTATGAGAACACCAAACAGCTTGCAAATGTATATGGAGCTCGCTGAACACATAGTTAATACAGGACATCCAATAGACTGATCAAAATCACGTTTTGCGGGTTACGGGGACATAATATTATCATAATAGCAAAATATTATATTTTTACGAAATGGCGCAAAAAATATAATAAACCAGGGTAAAAAGTTTAGTATATTTTTGGCTTTGATGATGTCTGCCATAGTATAGACGAGAGCTTATCACGTGCTCGGGGAGCCGAAGTCCTATTCGCAAAATCCAACAATCTTCACTCGGGGACAATCCTCCTTCGGTTTGCGGTGAAATCAATTCACGAATTCTTTCCAACTAAATTTTCATTCGAAATGGAAGGTTATGTAACGTTAAATGACTAAGGAATCTTCGAAACCCAATATTTCTTCATTACAGGTACATACGTGATGGCACTGACACCGCAGAGGCAATCCCCTCCGATTGCGGTGAAAACATGCTAAGTTTT